ACCTGGCTAGTGGCTTCCCTTTGGTGTGCTCTGAAGATAGAACTCCTGGGAGGACAATGATCATGGCACCTCTGGGCTCGAGCTGGCACAGAGGGATGAGAGCCCAGCAGCATGTGTCCCAGCGAACCTTCCCAGTCAGGACTGTGTGAGTTTAAATACTGGCTCCATTACTTGGCAGCTGTGTGACCTTGGGCTAGTCACTTTGCCTCTCTGTGCCTCACTTTCCTTACCTATCAAATGAGCTCATAATAAAAGCTAATAATAATAAAAATCCTGAGGTTGTGGGGTAGAGCAAATGAGATGACGTGTGTAAAATACGGTGCCTGGCACAGAGCAAACACCCAAGCAATATCAGTCCTTAGAAGAAGGATATGTTTGTGACACAGCTGTAAGGAATATGGCCCTGGGCTTTTCTCAGTCACTCTCTGCCATAGTCATGGTAACCGTTTGAGCCAAAATTCATTCAGGTAAGTGAGCAGATGTTTTACTGTCTATTTGTTTTTCAGAATTTTTTAAAAGAAAACTTTACCAACTAACATTAGCTTGTTCTTTCAGACCTAGCCATTGGTCAGATATAGCAAATTTTCTTCAGGTTTTTAGAACTGGTTTCCACTTCAGGCTACTGAAAGTCCCATGGCCCCCAAAGAACATGTCCTCATCTCCTGAGCCCCAACAGTAAAGATTGTGTAGACTGTGTGACCACAGTCAGGTGCCAGATGAGGAGAACGGAAGGTCACTATTCCCAAGTGAGCAGTCTCAGGGCTGCAGGGGAGGAAGGTCCTGCCAGGTCATCTGGGCCCCCCCTTTGCCTTCAAGATAACAGGTGCGTCGTGTACGTTTTATTGCATTCAGGGAAGGGGGGCTAAGGATTTCAGTTAGGAGAAGAAGGGGCAGGAGTGAGCATTCGATTAGTAAAGGCATCGGTGCAGTGTTGGCCTACACCTCTTTACACCTTATGGAGGAAAGAGAAAACATGTTATGACCCTGGAGGAGGGGTGATGAGGATTTGTCCTCCCTTTCAGATTGCCCCAAGCTACTGTGAGTCTCTATTTCAGTTGTCCAATTTAGATTAGCAAGAAATTAAATCATACAAACAAAAGTTGCCTCCAAGTGATTATAAGATCCGTAGAACTATCCCATTTGACCTTAGAGGGAAAGGAGCCTGGCTTCCCTTTTTCTTGGTTCTTCCTACTTCTCTGTCATGGGATATTGGGTTCCACGTGTTGTTGAAATTGTGAAAAATGTTGACCCCACGAGAACTTCAAGCTTGATAAACATAAGTCTGCATGAAGCCTCCTGAGGATCTGTATGAAAGTACATTTGCTCCCCGTGAGGGGAATTGGGATCCGCTTCAGTATGATGGGAGGGGTGGTTTGGGGGCTCTTCTTGTCCTTAACCAGAAGCCATTTCCGATCCTCTCCAGCGTGCAGCCCGCTCTGACCTGCCGTGGCAGCAGCATCTCGCGGGGCGGCTGAGTGCTGTATGGCTCCCTGAGCAGCAAGATGGGCCACGCTGGTCGGCTCTCCCTGGGAAAAACAGAAATAAATCAAATACCAGCTCCTACTTAAGATCTGATGAAATTCTCCATTTCCGTTCCAAATTGAATTCCTCCCGAAGGATCGGAGCAGCTCCTGGGAGTAATGAAGGCACTCCTTCCTCCCCTGCTAGAAGCATGTTTTAAATTAGCGAACACAGCATTCTAATCTGGGTGGGTAGGTAGCATTCAGGAACAGTCTTGAGAAACTGCTTGCAGACCAGACGTGATATTTTTAATCTCGGGGGGCATGGCGGCAGACGTGCAATCTGCCTGGCCTCTGTGGAGGAGGCAGCCCCGCCGGTGGTCTCCTGGGAAAGAATGACAGCACGTGGCCTGCTGTGGCCCTGCACCCCTCCCTGCCTGCCCACGTCCTTCTCCTCCGCCACTTGTAGACAAGGAGGATTTGTGGTGGAGAATACAAGTAAGGGGGCTTGTGCTTTTTGAGCTCTAAAATATCACTTTCCGGCCCATTTCTTCTTTGGGAAAAATGACAAACTGTGATTTTTTTTTTTTTTTTAAAGAAATGTTTTTAGGATGAAGATGTCATTGAAGTGATTATCTCCCTTCCTCTGTAACGATGATGAATGGACAGTCTGGCTTTTGTAGAGGCCATTGACACAGACCCTTTCAAGGAGGGGGATTAAAAAAAAAAAACCCTGTTCTCCAGTGGGCCTTGCCGGAGTGGAGACTGATCACTGGCCGGCTGATCGGGACCACGAATAAATGTGTGAGGAGCCCGGGGTGAGCCTTAGGAGTGGAGGTTAAGGTAGGAGTAGAAAATTCTAAAAGTTCATTCTGTTTTGAAGGTGTACATGAGATAAGCTGTTGGTAGAGAAATATTTAATATTACTCCTTGAAGTGAACTTGAAAACATTATTGTACTTTTTCTTCACTCACTGTTGAAGAAAGCAGTTAAAAAAAAATGGTAAGAGGTTTTAAAAGATTCCTTAACATGAGAAATTCTGACATTTAGGGTCAAAAGAGAGAAGGAAATTCTCCTTGAAAGAATATTCTATCAGTCCTTTTATGTCAGAATTTTGTTAACAGCCCTTGAGAAAGGTTATTAAAACCTTACTCCATGTTTTTAATTTAGTTTTAAGGAAGAAGCCATTTCCTTCACAGGGAAATAGCCCAGAGTGTCCAGTAAGTAAAGCCCTACCTCAGAGGGCAGAGCAGGCTGCGGGAGGAATTCAGTCAGGTTCCCAACCAGAAAATTCGTGAGAAGGTCATGTTTTCCACTGATAATGGGGCAATTTATATCAAGTGAAACGCCCTTCCTTCCTATCCGGGAGGATGTTTAAGCTTCTGTCTCCCTCAAAGGACAGTAGGAAATACATTTCTCCCCTGCTCAGAAGAAAGGACTGCAGATGGGAAATGGGAATTTCGGTTGAATTCCAGCCACGCCAGGGTCTGTCCTGAGCCGGACCGAGATGCAGCGAGGCTGGGGTCGTGTCTGCAGAGTGCTGAGGGTGGGGACGGAAGTGTGGTGGAGACAGCAAGGAGTGTTCAAGGGGGAAAAAATGAAAGGGCAGGAAAACGAAATGCCACCCCACACACGACTGCTTTTGTGCATTCCTTCAGGCCCTCGCAGACTTTTATGTTTGCATAAATGGGCCTTGGCAAGGCTTCCACGCCGGGACAAAACAGCGCAGTGGCGGAGGCTCTTTCTTCGTGAACAGCCTTGCTGCGATTTCACAGTCATCAGCTTGAGGAAACTTCCTGGCTTGAGCAGACAGCAGCCATCTAGCCTCTGTGCGGATGTGCGCACATCTGTCTGGCTGGCTGGCGGACCTTTCCCATGCAGGCTTGCCTTGGAGACTGTTTGTAAGGCCTGAAGTTACTTGTGTTTTGTTTTAGCCAAAAGGGCGAACTGCTGCCAGCAGTATGTCTGGAATGTTATTTACTCGGTACATTTCTCTGGCTTTTCTTTGTAGCACTGCACATGCCAGAGCCAGGGGTCATTTATTTCAAAATGCCAGGTTCTGCAGTTTGTCTTCTCAACGGGGTGACTTTCTCAGTGAAAGGAAGTTTAGCTCCTGTGCCTCTCAGCTCTTCCTTCCTTCCATGGCTGTTTTATTTTTGTTTTTGGTTTGTTTGTTTGTTTGAGTTAGTGCTTTGAACGAGTGCTGGGGCCTGTTGCATTGCACCCCTTTGTCCTAAATGCCCCCAACTCCACTTTTAATTTCTGGGGGTTTCTAGCAGACTCTTCAGAATACCTGGCAGCTGGTTTCTCATTTGCGTGCCTGCCCTGTTATTATTTCACATGAAAGCTGTCTTATTTTGGCAGACATGACTCCCTCAATTGCAGTTGAGCTCTCTGAGCTGAATGGGGAATGTTGTGCAAGGGAAATATAGGTGGGGTTTTCTCTAATGGTGGCTGTGGGGGCGGAGGAAAAATCTGCAAGCAGTGTTGGCTTGTGCAGAGCCAACATGATGGCAAACAAATGGCTTTTGAAAAAAGGAACCGGTGTGTACAGTTTCTTAATTTGGAAGGTTTCACAACTGTTTTTGTTCAATTGATGGAGGAGAGATTTTTTTTAAAGAGCAAATCCTTCATTAGAAAGACTGTAAACAAGTCCTGGAAAAACAATCCATGCCAAAGGTGGATGCATAGGAGTTATTCTACTGGCCTCTTCTTTCTTCAGGTCACCTTCCTCCCATGTCATCTAAGCAATTTTAATCGTGGTATTTGGGGTTTTAAAACAAGTATGGAAAATGAGATTAGATAAATCTCCCTGTCTAGTGCCAGCCCCGGGGTCGTTTGCACACCTGGGTGGGTTAACTCCCTACCTTCTCTCTCTCTCTCTCTCTCTCTTTTTCTCTTTCTTGATAATTTCGTTATGCCACGTGAATCCATAAGCGCCTACAGACAGCCCGAAAACCTTTGCTTTACACAGACTCAGCCTTTATCTGCGTCTCTTGGAAGCCTCGCCCATCCACGGCACCTGTTAGTTTGTTAGCTCCGTAACCAGCCCTGGTGTGAAATGGAAAATTTTTGGTTCCATTCTTCTTGGCGTTTTCTGTCCTTCTGCATGACTTCTCAATTTGCTTGTAAGCTGCTAGGATTTTTGGCTGAAGGGTCTTCTTTGATCACTCTCCTGACAGCATGGGCTTCACATACTCACACCTGCTCTTCTTTTACAGCCCAGATTTCAGAGTAAATGCTTCCATTGCCTTGTAATTTTTTCAGCATAAAACTTTGGTGCAGTTTACTTATTAGAGGTAATAGCCGTTTGATGACGGAGACAACTGCTTGGCAGAGACAGCAACCTGAACTACTGCCAGGAGTGTAAACTGCCACTTTATTTATGCCTAAACGCATCTAAGCCACAAGCCCATCAGTCATGATCTAGCATGCACATGATAATAACAGGCTCACCAGGCTAGGAAAGCTGCTCCATGGGGTGGCCATGAGGACGGGCTCTAACAAGACTCCATGTGTTTTCTCCCCCATTATCCACAGCCCACACATCATCTTCCTCTCTCAGAGCACCTTGACAGCAACGAGCCATCTCTGTGGGACCCGTCTCTGCCATGAAATTGCGCACGCCTGGTTTGGCCTAGCCATCGGGGCCCGCGACTGGACGGAGGAGTGGCTGAGTGAAGGGTTTGCCACTCACTTGGAAGATGTATTCTGGGCTAAAGCACAACAGGTGGGCTTAAAGTGACCCTAAACATTTCACTTCCCAGAGTCACATTCTGTATATAGTCATTCATTCAACAGCCATGTACTGAGCGCTACTATGCACTGGGCACTGTTTCCGCTGGGGAGATAGCACGTACACAAGAGATGGAAAAGCCTCTGCTCTCTGCAGGGTTCACAATCTGGAGACAGGAGAGAGAACAGACAAACAAACAAATGAATCTGTCTCTCTGATGTCTGTCCACAAGTAATGAATGAATAATGAAGCAGTTAGTGTTATAGGCTAGCAGGGGTCCTCAGACTTTTTAAACAGGGGGCCAGTTCACTGTCCCTCAGACCGTTGGAGGGCCATTGGAGAGTGCGGCGCACGTTCCACACATGCGCACTGTGGGCCCAGGACGAGTTGGCTGCTAAGCAGGACAGGCAGCGGTGGCAAAAACACCCTGCAGGCCGGATAAATGTCCTCAGCGGACTGCATGTGGCCCTCGGGCCATAGTTTGAGGACCACTGGGTTAGGGAATGGTGAGGACAAACTGGCAACTGCTACTCAGCTCTAAACAATTCTCATGGTGAAGGGAGGAGGGCTCAGTATAGCTGGGCTTATAGTTTTCTAAGGGAATCCATACATCTGTATTTTTATGTGAAGCTTACTAATTTAAAAAATATTATTCAAACCAAACATGCCCAGAGGCCAGACCTGATCAATGCGCTCCCAGTTTGCAACCACTACTTTAAAGAATTGACCACCAGTTCTAAGGAGGATAATGAGCAACTGAACTGTTTCCTGCCTGCTTGTAAGATCCTAATATTTGGGTCACTTGTTTTCCCTACCACCCCTGCCCCTTATACTACTGGACTATTTGACATTTTCCAAAATTCCCAAGTTAGTACACACCTGTATGATTTTGTTCAAGGTCCTGTGTCTGTTGAAATCCTATTTATTTTTCAGTGACCAGCTTGAGTCACCTTCCCTGGGTAGCCCAGACAGATCACTCCACTCACTACTTTCATTCAGCACTACTCTCCTATAAACTCTGAATTCCCACAATGTTTGATGCTTACCTCTTTTTTTCTCATTTTTTTCTTTTTCCTTCTATAGTATGATTTCCTTATTCTCACAACTAGACTGTGATCTCTTTAAAGTGGAGCGGGGTCTTACTCATCCTGCTGTCCTCGTCACAGTTTAGCTGCGGAGCTGGTGGTGTGCACATCCTTGTCCCCTGCCACACAGAGTCCTGTGAAGAGGGGCCTCTTGGTAGATACAGGGAAAAGGCTGGGCTCTGAGTCGCACCAGACTTTGAATCCCAGCTCTGCTGTTCAACAGCTTAATGAGTACAAGTAGGTTGTATAGCCTGCCTGAGCCTCCGTTTCCCCATTTGTAGATTGGATGTAAGAATGTTTAACCTTGCATGCTGAATTAGATGATGTGTGAATGAGCTTAGCAAGTGCCTGACACGTGGAGGGTGTGCAAGAAACAACTATTTTCTTCCTCTTTGTATTCCCCTCTACCTTGCACACAGCAGGCATTCTGCAAGGCTTTAATATAAACGTGCCTCGGTCATGATCTCTTCCCTGGGTACTTCCTTCTGAGATGGTCAGATTTGTGCCAGTATTGGCATTGCTAGTGTGTTTCAGGCATCTGATAATGATGTCTCTTTCACCTCCTGCATCCCCAAAGAGTGCTCCCTTCCCCCTGCCTATACTCGTAGGTGGTCACCCTTAGTCTTCTGGCCTGGGTCCTGCCTCTGACTGCCTCACATCCATCCACATCCCATCCCCCAGCTGCGTACATTCCCTGTCCGCCCTGTGCTAGATCTGCAGGGATACAAGGGTGAGACACAGCTCTACCTAATTGTGAAGATAAGAAAAACACTCAGTGGAAGGAAGAAGAGAGTAAGTTAGAAAAGAGAGGTAAACACCAAATTCCGTGGGAGTTCAAAGGTGGGAGAGGCTAGGTATGAACGGATCTGGAAAGTTTTTGTGGAGGTGGTAACTTCTGGGGGGGCCTCAAGGGAAAGCAGGAGTTGCGTGCTCTCTAGCCTCCTTTTGCCTTAGCCTCGCATAGGAGTCGACCCACCTTGTCATCCTTCAAGGCGCATGCAGTGACTCTTCAACATGTGGAAATAGGAACGCCCCTGAGGCAAAGTGGCCATTCTAGATTTGAGCACAGAGTTTGGAAGCATTTCCAGAGCACGTTCACCACCCTGACCTCTTTCTTTAAGGGCGAGACGGAGCTGGTGCTGGTCCCTGGTGAGCGCCACCGCGCACCTTCCAAGCAGCAGGGGAGCGTTCTGTGGGAGGGATGGGCTTGCCTCCTCATGGGACAGCCTGGTCTGCAGCAGCCTCCACCAGTGAAGAGGGTATGAGGATGCACTGGCAGCAGTGGTCATTTGGGTCACTTCGCTATCCCGGAGACTGCAGTTGGCAGCACTGAGCATCGCAGAGCACAGCAAGGGGGGAGTATGAAATCTTGGAACAAAGAGATGGGGACTGGCATTCACTCCAAGTGGCACTCCATAGGGATAAGTGAGTCGAGTTAGTTACAAGATTCAATCATATAACTTGTCATCAACCTGGATAAAGTCTGAAGTCCTTCACAGGCGTTTTAGTCTACTTGGACTGCCGTAATAAAATACCGAAGACTGGGCGGCTTGAACAACAGACATGTATGTGTCACAGTTCTGGAGGCTAGAAGTCCAAGATCAAGGCGCCAACAGGGTTGGTTTCTGGTGAGGTCTCGCTCTTGGCTTGCAGATGGCCACTGGCTGCCTTCACTGTGTTCTCATGGCTGACCTCATTTAACCTTAATTAGCTCCTTACAGGCCCTATCTCCAAATATAGTCCCATTGGGGTTAGGTCTTCAACATATGTTTTTGCAGGGGACAGTTCAGTTGGTAACAATTGGCCCACAAAGTCTATTGACCTCCTGGCCTCTGCCCACTTCCCGGCACCTCTCTCCCTCCCTGCATGGTAGTCTGCTCCTGGCGTCACCGCATCTCTCACCATTCTCTAAGGATGTTAACACTCTCCCAGACCCCATGTGCCTGGCACATGCCCTCCCCCTTCCTGAAATCGCTCCTCCCTGGCTGACACCTGCTTTCCTCGGGGATCAGCTGAGGCACCACCAGCTCCTCAGGAAAGCCCTGGTTGGCCAGGGGCATCTGGGTTCTTCCCTAACCTCCACCATCACCTGCACTTTGATGTTAGTGTTCTTACCTGTCTCCCTCTCCCCCAGACTCTGCATGGTAGGAACTCTGTCCCTAATGTCCTCAGGGCCTAGTAGAGACTCAGTAAATATCTGTTGAATGAATTATGAGGGACCTTTGATTTCCATATATGCCTGTAGACACTGGACAGTTTCCCTCCCCAGTGGGTGTCCTGCTGCCCTCCCTTGCAGAGATGGTAGCCGTGCAGCCTGGCGAGCTCATCTGAGCGACAGCAGCCGGCAGGGCAGAGTGTGATGGCCTTCCCCTCCCCCACAGGGAGTCCGGGCAGTGAGCTTTTTCTGGTTATATGCAAACAGAGTCATCTGGGTTGCATTAGCAGGCTCCGCTGTAAACAGTCCTTAGCGAAATTGAGGGCTGGGAAAACAGGAGGTAAATGGAGGGGCCTTCCCCACCCTGTGCAGAAAGACAAAGCAGGAAAGGAGGACCCGGGGGAATCGGAGTGGAAATGGCCCCTGGGGAGGCCCACTCTCTTCAGGCCAGGTGTGTGTTGGGGGAGTGGGATGGGCTGCAGGACAGGGGATCTCTCCCAAACAGGCTGTCCCAGCTCCACGGTTGGTTCTTTGTTTGAGGAACTAAGAGGCTCCCTCAGGCCTTTGATTTTCTGGTGCGGTGCAAGGTGAGAGCAGGGGGCAGGCCATGGGACCCCCCATTGAAACAGCAAGCCGTTCCACCAGGACCACAGTGACCACACTTTGTGTGCTTGTGTGTCTGTGCCCGAGCAGCTCGCCCCGTCTGAGGCCCGGGAGCAGCAAGAGCTGAGGGCCTGCCTGCGCTGGCGTCGCCTCCAGGACGAGCTTCGGGACTCCCCGGAGGAGATGCAGGTGTTAAGGTAAAGTGCCACTGTGCTCCCATCACCTCTCGTTCTCCTCCTTTCCTCCTCTTCCCTTCTGGGCACATCCAAGCCGTCTGATGACATCTGCTGTGTTTCCTTTCTAAATTAAGCTGGGCTGGGTTACTCATCCTCCCGGGGATGTGACTGTTCTAAGTCTTTCAGGGTGTGGGTTTCGATTTGCCTTCTGACATCTTCCTGGTGACTCTATTCAGGAAAAAACTAGCATGAGGCCATTTCTGGGACCGAATTCTTCACTTGAAGTTCTAATAGTCACTTAATTTGTGGCTGTGGACGTGGAGAAGGTTGGGGTTTGGCAGCCTGGCAGACAGTAACCCTTTAAAGCCAAAGGGGAAAAATCTTTAGGAAAATATTGATTCCGAAGTGTTTAGTAGTCACAGATGTGTGTGTGTCAATGGGGCCTTTTGTTTCCAATGTGGCCCAGCAGGAAGCTTGTTTGTAGACTGTGGCTTATGGCACCTGCAGGATTGCTTCTTGCCATTTTCCCATGCTTGTCCCTCTCTGCTTTGTACCTTTTCTTCACTAAATGGTTATCTGAAATATGGTGCCTAGGCCCCAGGAGCACTGAGGTTGCTATGGCAACAGAAGCTTCCATCCTGGCCCCTCTTGACTAGAGCGAAGTGTTCCGAATCTGCTGTCAAATGGGGTGGGAGTGGAGAAGGCAAGCTGTCGAGGAGCTGCCTCCTCTCCTCACCCCATCTTAGATGGCCCTCTGAAGGTGGAAGCCTACCCCGGACGGTTCTGCTGCTGTGGTTTGCTTTTAATTAAACACCCCCACGCCTTCTGACTGCAACTATAGTGCACAAGCCTAACAGAAATGCACCAAGCTGGCCAGACCCCAGGGAGGGAGGCTGCCTGGTGCTTTTGTGCAGCACAGCAGAGCGTAGGGTGTGGTGAGCTACGCCCTACCCTCCCAAGCTGACTCATCTATTGTTTAGAAGAGGCACCTTGAGTGGTGGGAAGCTCAGCGGGCCAGGAGCCAGGAGACCTGCCGTCTCACCCCAGCGCCACTGTTCCTACCTCTGTTCCCTCAGCCAGTGTTTATTGAGCCAGGCAGGATGGCTACCCCTGTGGCCAAAGAGGAAACAGTCTCATGGAGCTCCCACTTAGTAGTGACACTATTGCATGCACCAGCTGGTCACAGGTGGTGAGCAGTGCTGCGGGGGGACTGCTCGGTGAGGTGAAGCCTGACTGGAGGGCTTCCAGGAGGGAGGTCGGGGAATTGAATGTGGAGAAGAAAGAAATGAGAGTATTCAGAATGACTTCTAGGTTTGTGACTTGCGCAGTTGGGTAGACAGTGATGCCATTTATGAAATGGTTAAAGACTTTGGGAGGAACAGGCTTGGGAGGGGTAAAAAAAAATGAAGAGTCTAGTTTTACATATGTTAAGTTGTGATGCTAGATAGATATTCAGTATCAAGAACTCTGGGGTCTTCAAGTCAGGAGCTCTTTGGAGAGATTTGAATATTCAGCTTATAAAACACTTAAAATTCTGAACACGTTGAAATCACCAGGGAGAGAGGAAGTGAGAGAAGAGCTCGGGAGGAAGATGAGGAGCCAGTAAGGGATCAGGGGGAAATCAGAGTGTGTGGAGAAAACCAGGCCCCCCCGGGGGGCAAGAAGGCAGGAGTGGCTGGTGTTGGATGCTGCTTAAGGAGGGTGTTAAAGGGAGAGAGAGGTAGGACCCCGGGAAGGATGTTGGTGACCTTGACCTTCATGCATTTATAGATGAGTGGTGGAGAAGGAGGCCAGGCGGAAGTGGACAGAAGAATGAATGGGAAGGCAGGAAGTGGAGCCAGGATGTCGACTGGCTTCATGAGAGAGCTTGTGCTGGCAAGGGAAGCAGTGCTGGGGAGGCAGCAGAGGGAGTGAGGGTCAGAGAGGGTTGCTCTACCGTGGGGGACGACCCAGGAGCGTGCCTACGTGCGAGCTGTATAACTGTGCCAGCCCCTTCACCTGTCAGAGACTCGGTTTCTCCAACTAAGAGGCCGTCTCCATTCTACACATCTCCAAATCCCTTGATGCCTCTGTTTCTATCCTTCCGGGACACGGGGGACATCATAAGTAATATGAGTTTTGATGAAACGTGTTTCCAGCTTATAAGCAAGTTCGACCACACCCTGGGAAGTCAGTTCACATTTGAGGAGGGCCTCATCTCTGGCTTCCCTGGGGCTGGTCGGCCCAGCTTCAGACGGCCTCGATCTTTTCCTTTGTGTGTGGAGTTGGGAGAAGAATATAGTATTTTTAGACCTTTGTGTTCAAAGGCTTATTATGGCATTTGCTTTTCTTTGTCTTAGTATTCAGAAATTGTGCTTACCTAAATTTAGGCTAACGATGAAATGACTGCATTTGAAAGACTTATTGTATATCAATATGGAAAAGACTGTTATCAGATGTGCTTACAATGAGGAGGAAATGTTTCTGAACCTGCCCTGAATTACATCCTCTAGGTTTAGTTTACTCCCATCCCCTAGAATTCCCCCTTAAATGGGCATAGAGAACTTAGAAATTATTGAAAGTGAAAAGAAGAACCAGAGTTGTAAAGATTTGTTCTCAGATTTTGTTTTGTTTTAACATGCAAATGAGACCTTAGGAAAGACATCCCTTAAAACAATACAGTGATCAGAGATTCTTTCTTTCTTTCTTTCTTTCTTTCTTTCTTTCTTTCTTTCTTTCTTTCTTTCTTTCTTTCTTTCTTTCTTTCTTTCCTTTCTTTCTTTCCTTTCTTTCTTTCTTTCTTTCTTTCTTTCTTTCTTTCTTTCTTTCTTTCTTTCTTTCTTTCCCCATTGTCTTAAAATAATGGATGAAGAACAGTTTAAAAGTCTTGATAGTTTCCTCCACGTCAGCAGACATGATGGAAACTTTTCTCACAATTTGTGCAGCAGTTTTCAACATGGTTGCCCACTCCACTCCCTTCTTCAAAAAACACTTTCTTCTTAAAATACTTTCTTCTCTCTCTACTGTGTGTTACATGCCTCGATTTCCCTCTACCTCCCTGGCCTGTGCTTCCCTACCATTTTTGCTGGCAATTTAACACTGAAATGGCTTAATGCTAAGAAAGACCAAATAACATGCCTACTTTCATACAGGTGATAAAGAACAGAACAGGGATTTAAACACAAGGATTGAAACTATCCTCTTTTCCTGCCTTCAAAGAACTTGAAATAGCATTTAGTTACATTAAAAAACAAAAACAAAAAAACACTCCAGGTATCTTGAATTCTGGAAGGACATTCAGGTTAGGGTGAAAAAGTATCCTTGGAGCAAGCATCTTTGTCGTTTAACACATGAAAACGTGTGTTTTAATATTTCAGAAGATACTGGGGAAAAAAGAAAACTCAAATGCTATTGGTTATAGATACTAGAGTATTAACGAGTGACAAGAGAAAAAAAATTTTGTTTGCTTCTGACTTATTAATTTCAGTAATTTATAAGAACTGTTTTCCACTGGTGCCTTCCGTGCATCCACTGTTGAACCATGGGGCTCTTCAACTGTGTCTTAGATTGATTTTGTTATAAGTTGTATTTGCATCAGATATGTGTAGATTGACTTAGTCATAAATTTCATTTGGTTACAAGTTTCTTGTGTTTTCCTAGCCTTCTCAGCCTTCATTGGCTGGGGAGCCTGTAATGTGGCCACAGGCTCTGGAGGCATGGTGATTTGCTCAGAATTTCAAAATGTTAAGGGTCACATTAATGACTCCATGCCTTTCTCACGCCTTGTTAATTATTAAAGATGTCTTCCTGGGATACAAGACCCCAGTGGCTCTCCCCAGACTCTCCCTCACCTCTCCACTAGCCCTGGGAAGAATTGTCCACCAGGCAAAGTCTGATTTTGTTACGGTTGTGTTCTGTCCTGCCGCTGCTCCACTCTCTCCTGTTGTCGGTCCCTGCCTAGAAGCTGCTCTCCTGACTAGCACAGCAGTGGTGGCTCTTGCCAAAGAAGATGCTAGGGGGCTTCCAGAAGGCTTCCCGTGCCTCTTGTCTCTAGGGTGCAGCTGGATTCCGGCAGCTTCTCTCTAAGTGCTTCCAGTTAGCATATTCTGACAGGCCCTGTGGGATGGAAGAGCTACAGTGGCAGGGTCAGAAGAAATCTGTTAGTTTTTATTGTTTGTGATTTATTATCACTTCCTTTTTTTCCTGGATTTATTGTTAAAGTCAAGCTCATGCTGAGAAAAACGTTAAAATGTATCCTGCTAAGGAGGCACTGACAAGCGCTCGGGTATACAGCTCTTAATCTTAGCTGCTGCCTCACGGTGGACACAATGCTAGATAAATGTGGTCATCTTTCTTACCCTCCTCGTGAATGCCTCACCCCCTGGTCACAAAAGCATCCTGTAATAGTAGGGCAAAACCCCCAAGTATGAAACTCTATCCAGAGCCAAAATAAATTGTGTGTGCCATGGGCATTCTGTGAATTTGCATGGGTGCCTGAGCACCGACCATTCCATTTAAAATAGTAAGACCTTTTTCCTTAAAAGTCTTCCATGTGTAAGCCTTCTCTGTTATACTTGAAGTTTTCACCTCTAAGCTTCTTCTCAAAATTTTTATTTCTGATCCCTGAAGAACATAGCAGTCTTTTCCATCCGAGTGTGGGGACACACCTATTTGATTTGCAGTGACCTGAGCCTGCCTGTCAGAAAGCTGCCGTCCTTCAAGAGTCCCTGGTTGCCCTCGTGTGCCCGCCTGCAGCCCAGAGATTCAGTGTTCCTCTGCTGCTCCTCCAGCCAGAGGCCCGAGAGCCTGGCGTGAGCCACGAATGAACCCTTTCACCCTTCCGGGGCCAGCTCCCTCGTCCCTTGCCTTCAGTGTCTATTCCAGACCTTCCCCGTCCTCCTCCCTTCTCTTGCCTCCTGCCCCGCTGGAAAACTAAGGCCATCAGCTGTGTCTTCCCTTGGATTCCATCTACGGCCACAGCTGTCCTGACCTCTCAGACGCCCAAGGGCAATCCCGTCTGCCAAATTTCTACTTCCCAAAGT